GTGGTTCCCAAGTTTTTTTGGTTACTGAACCACCAACTGAATTTTGCTCTGCCCGGAGTACCCCTGAAGTACCCTATCATGTACATTTTACCTGTAGGCCTATGGTCTCATAAGTCTTCTCAAGTACCCCCTGTGGATAGGCCAAGTACCCCCAGGGGTCCTAGTACCCCTGGTTGGGAACCACTGCTGTAAAGAGCAATGGGGGATCAATGGCGTTCCGCTACACTGTTGTAAAATTACAGCAATTGCTGTAATTTTACAATACAATTTAACAATAAAGTAGTGTATTGATGTTTTGCTGTATATTTACTGCAGTGTAAATTCTGGTGCATTGTGGAAAAGTTTTAAACCCGCTAATGGCTGAATATTAAGACACGTCCTTTTGATCTGTTTTGTCCTGTAATCACAGCCAGTTTGGAAGCATTTGTTTAGGCCTCTAAAAGTCCAAGTGATATTAAACACCAAATAATCATAAATATGCTGTACTATATAAATACCTAGCACCCAACCTGCTTGCAGTAATTCCATGTAATTACCAACATGATTAAAGTAGAATTTACTCTCACAGTACAGTAGGCTCGTTTTACAGTATTGTACTATGTCATTGCTCTGCATTTTACAGTAACTTAAAAGAAGCTGATGGTATGTTTTTAAAAAATCAACCTTAGATGAATGCACTGACTGTAATTCGCTCTGGACAAGAGCGTCTGCTAAATTACCAAAATGTAAATGTAAAAATGAACATTTGCAAAGCACACTGCTGGGTATTAGTCTAAAACTATTTGTATTTTGATAAAAATGTGACCTTGTTTGGGGGCGGAGCTCATTAGAATAATACCTAGGAGTGTGCTTTGCAATTGTTAATTTTTACATTTACATTTTGGTCATTTAGCAGACGCTCTTTTCCAGAGGTACTTACAGTCAGTGTATTAAATTAAGGTAAATAAGAATGTACCACAGTCATAGCAAGTAAAAAGATTATGTTACCGTTACCGAGAATGTTGTAGTTAAGCGCCATAGTTGCAAGTATATACAGTGCATTTGGAAAATATTCAGACTATTTCCCTTTTTCCACATTTTGTTACGTTGCAGTTTTATTCTAAAATGGATTAAATGACAATTTTTCCTCATCAATCTACACACAGTATCCCATAATAACAAAGCGAAAACAGTTTTTTTGAATTTGGGGCATTTTATTTTCTTCAGTTATTTATATAAGTATTCAGACCCTTTGCTATGAGACTCGAAATTGAGCTCAGGTGCATCCTGTTTCCATTGATCATCCTTGAGATGTTTGTACAACTTGATTGGAGTCCACCTGTGGTAAATTCAAGTTCCCACATATGCTGAGCACTTGTTGCCTGCTTTTCCTTGACTCTGCCGTGCGTCTCATCCCAAACCATCTCAATTGGGTTGAGGTTGGGGGATTGTGGAGGCCAGGTCATCATATGCAGCACTACATCACTCTCCTTCTTAGTAAAATAGCCCTTACACAGCCTGGAGGTGTGTTGGGTCATTGTCTTGTTGAAAAACAAATGACAGTTCCACTAAGCCCAAACCAGATGGGATGGTGTATCGCTGCAGAATGCTGTGGTAGCCATCCTGGTTAAGTATGCCTTGAATTCGAAATAAATCACAGACGGTGTCACCAGCAAAGCACCACCACACCATAACACCTCTTCCTCCATGCTTTACGGTGGGAAATACACATGTGGAGATCATCCGTTCACCCACACCGCGTCTCACAAAGACACGAAGGTTGGAACCAAAAATCTCAAATTTGGACTCCAGACCAAAGGACACATTTCCACTGGTCTAATGTCCCTTGCTCGTCTTTCTTGGCCCAAGCAAGTCTCTTCTTCTTATTGGTGTCCTTTAGTAGTGGTTTCTTTGCAGCAATTCGACCATGAAGGCCTGATTCACACAGTCCCCTCTGAACAGTTGATGTTGAGATGTGTCTGTTACTTGAACTCTGTGAAGCATTTATTTGGGCTGCAGTTTCTGAGGCTGGTAACTCTAATGAACTTATCCTCTGCAGCAGAGGTAACTCTGGGTTTTCCATTCCTGTGGCGGTCCTCATGAGAGCCAGTTTCATCATAGCGCTTGATGGTTTTTGCGACTGCACTTGATGAAACATTCAAAGTTCTTTACATTTTCCGGATTGACTGACCTTCATGTCTTAAAGTAATGATGGACTGTCGTTTCTCTTTGCTTATTTGAGCTGTTTTGCCATAATATGGACTTGGTCATTTACCAAATAGGGCTATCTTCTGTATACCCCCCTACCTTGTCACAACACAACTGATTGGCTCAAACGCATTAAGAAGGAAATACATTTTTTTTAAGAAGGCACACCTGTTAATTGAAATGCATTCCAGGTGACTACCTCATGCAAAACTGTCATCAAGGCAAAGGGTGGCTATTCACTATTATTCTACAATGTAAGAAATAGTCTAAATAAAGAAAAACCTTTGAATGAATAGGTGTGTCCAAACTTTTGACTGTTGTGTATGTAAATGTGATATTTATATATATATTTTTTAAATAAATGTGCAAACATTTCTAAAAACCTGTTTTTGCTTTGTCATTATAGGGTATTGTGTGTAGATTGATGAGGGAAAAAAACTATTTAATCGATTTTAGAATTAGGCTGTAACGTAACAAAATGTGGAAAAAGTGAAGGGGTCTGAATACTTTACGAATGCACTGTAGTTGTATTAGACAATACAAAATAGGCTACGTGAATTTTAGTTCAGGTCAGTGAAATGCAGATGTCAAAATAGGTATTGGAAGTATTGAAATACCTATATCAAATACATGAACCAAAAATACTGCCTGTTGATGGTACTAGCTTCCTGCACTGTAAATCTGCAGCAGTTTACTAACCACTGTGCTTCCCGTAATGCACTGTAAATTCTAGAAATACAGCATGTTACTGTCAGGTGTTCCAGTAATATGCTGTAGATTTGTGTTACAGTAAAGGTCCTGTAAATCTACAGTAATTCACTGGCTTCTGTGTCGCCAGTAATTTACTGTAAAAATTAAAGGACATTTTTTACAGTGTGGTTTTTGTACAAGATACCCCCCATGGCTATCCAACTCAATGGATTCTCCATTCACTGAGTAGACAGGACATTGGAGTCAGGGAAATCTAGAGAGGGAGGGTGTTACATTCCCCAGCAAAAAATAATAATAATGTCGCTCAAACAGAAGGGGGAACTAACAAAGAGTCACTGACCAACAACCAAAACAAAACAGGTGGGGTTTTAGGAGGGGTTCTGAAAGACACTCATGGGGGTGTCCACGGAAAGTTGACTCGCAACAACAACTGGAACCTAAAAGACACCCACCATGAACACCCACTAAATTTGCCCAAGAAGAAGCAAACAAAATAAAAACCCACACCAAACTTGGACAGGAAGCAAACCAAAAAGTGGAGCAAAAAGAAAACAGGGAAGATCAGATAAAAAATTATTTGTCTAGAAATCAAAATAGGGAGAGCCAACTAAAGGTATTAACCATCTGCATCTATCAAGACAACTGGAGCGCTGGGCAAGCCACTCTTAAATAGTACCTGGGCCAGCACAGGGGAAACACCTTCCCACTAATGTGATGGCAACCAGCACAGGTGTAACACATACTGACTAACAAGGTAATACCTATTGAGGCGCCTTACGTGCTAAAGTCCAAGCTCAAAACATAAATGGAAAAACCAAAACCTGTAACACCTTCCTATATTTTTGTTGGACAAGTTTGCTCATCACCAACAGAAAACAACTTCGATTGCACAAGATAATCAATTAAATGCGTTGCTAATTAAATGCGTCACCTTCTCCAATGTAAACATGGTGTCTACTGGCTGTCAACATTTAAATATAAAATAAACACTTTAAAAATAATATATATATTTTTTTGTATATTATTTTAATAGTTGCCTAAAACTCACAAGTTTTGAAAAACTCACAAACGCTTCTATAACTCTCGTCCCCTTGGAATGAGTGCAACCAAAACTAATTCCAAAACAACAAAACGTGCAGTCAAACTAAATTGTGAGGCAGGGCAACACACTGGCTAAACGCAAAACACAAAACCAATTGACTGCCCACCCTTGAAAGCCAATCAGCAACCAAGTTGTCCTTACCCCGAACATGTCTGATTTCAAGGGGAAACTCCTGCAATATCCGTAGTAACTTTCCTCTCGTGATTTTCCTCAGTGGAATGGCCTTTGGGAAACGAGTGGCAGCGCACATGATGGTTAAGAGAAACTGGTTACTATTCTTTGCTTTGGGCAAAGGACCAACACAATCCACCAGAACTCTGCTGAAAGGTTAGTCCAAAGCAGGAATAGGCTGCAAAGGTGCAACCGGCACAGCTTGGTTAGGTTTACCCGTCCACTGGCAAACGCAACAGGATTTACACTAAGCCACAACATCCTGTGTCAGACCAGGCCAAAATAAGTTACTCAAGATACGATAACAAGGTGTATACCTCTTCAGCAAAAGAAAATAGTGTGCTGACTCTAGCACAGTGGAAGTCTCGACCCATTGTTCACCCGTCTTGGAATACCTGATGGTCAAATGCTGACCCTTCTACCTCTCCAGAGAGCTTTCATCTGTTATCGTGACTGCTGTATATATTCCACCTCAGGAAAAGAAAAAAAAAAAGCTGACACTTAACGAACTGTATGAGGCTATACAAGTGGGAAACCATGCACTCGGAGGCTGCTTTTCTTGTTGCCAGTGATTTTAATTCCACTTCATTAAGACACGTAATGCCCAACTTCCATCGACATGTCTCTTTCGTCACTAGGGGCGATAAACTGTTACTCTACCCACAAGCAAGCATACCAAGGCCCTCCCTCGTCCCCCCTTTCGGCAAATCAGATCATGACTCTATACTGTACAAGCAGAAGCTCAAACAGGAAGTACCCGTGACGTTCTCTGTTTGGGAAATGGTCATCCGAATCGGAGGCTATGCTACTAGAGGGGTTGGTGCTGGGAATGGAAACTGGGATCCGTGCTGGTGCTGGGGCCGGGACTGAATACCATGGGTTGATGCTGGGTCTGGTGTTGGGACTAGACCCCGGGAACCGGGAACCAGGGCTGCTGCAGGTGCTGGGTTGGGATCTGGGTTTGTAGAGGGGAGGAAAGACAACCTGGGGAGCCAGCAGACACGCAAGGGAGCCCTAGATCCAGAGGTCAATGGTGGTACTTCCCTGTGGCCTGCTCGCTCCGGGTGAAGGTCTGATCTTTGGTCCCTCCTCCACACCTCATCTGGTGGTCTGGTACTGGGGCTTGTGCTGCAAAATGGGTACTGGGTTGGTGCTGGGTCGGGATCTGGTTCTGTACAGGGGAAGAAGGACATCCTGAGGAGCCAGCAGACACACAAATGAGCCCAAGACCCGGAGGTCAGTAATTGGAGATTTGGTCCTTCCTCTGCGCCTCTTCTGGTGTGGTGAAGAATGGCTCCTGGTTCTGGTCTGGTTCTGTGAGAGGGATAGGTGTAGAGCGAGGAAAGGGGAGAGAGATGGAGAGGGAGAAGGGGGGTGGTATTTCCATTGGCCTGGGCAGGTGCTGAAGGAGGAGCGATGTGGCGGCAAGACTGGACGCTAGTGGGAACAAACACTGCCCAGATCTGCATGGCCTCGGCACACTCACAAACAGTTGGTACATGTATTTGGTGTGAGTGCCTCCATGAGGGCAGTTCTCTGTACGTACCTTGTGCCATCTATGAATGGATTCCCTCGTGGGGAGGTAACCATGAAAAGCCGTCTGAGGAAAGTCCTTCTGTTCGGAGTGTGTTGTCAGGGTCATGGTGATGGGTTATTGGGGAGGTCTGATAATTTCTTTGCAGATTTGGATGAGGGCCTCTAGCAAATCGTGAGGGCCTGTTCACAGGTTTTGGTATGCTTCCCCACTGACTGCCTGGTGGCCCCCTGTACTGACTTAGTGATGGAGTAGGGTATGCTACTAAGGTTGAAAACAACAACATATCAAATTGTTGTTGTTTGGGCTGGCTACTTGCAAATGTATTGTATTAATTGTTTTGTCATTCAAAACTCTGACACAGTTGTCAAGTCAACACATCTGCCAGTGAACTGCATCACAAGAGACGCCAAATGGGAGATGTATATAAAAAAAATGATATAATTGGTCAATTTCCATGTTTGAGTTGCTTTGTGTATCACCAAATTTCCTTGATTCTTTTATTGCAACACTGCTCACTGCATCCAAGTTGCTTGACAGAGTCATTTCAAAGAGCTGTTAGTCAAGACGAGCTCATGAATATAAGCTCCCCGCCCACTCAGCCTGTCTTTTCAAACTTCCTGGTACTTAGCCATGAGAGAAAAAGTACTTTTCAATAGTGATGTTATGTTTGATACCAGAGCTCTGAGGCATGCGTTGAAATCTTTAAGCAGCGAACTTCGAAGCAGTGTTTCCGATACATGTATTACTTTATCAGAAGTATGTCATCAATGATGTCCGAAGCTTCGTTTGATCACGTACTTTTTCAAACCATGTGTTGCATAATGCGAGATCCCACTGATTTCGCCGTGGTTCCAGTGCTTTCTTCGATTCCAAGCTGCTTTCAAACACCGACCTCTACTGGACATCATACTTACAAATATAGTTAGGATTTTGAATGTACATTTTCAACTGACTGGTAGCTTAGCATTTAGGGATGTGAGGGTATGAAGTCTAAATCCTGTTGAAGGCACACTATTTAGATTTTTAAAAAAAATTGAAACCACGCTTTCTGCACTGTTGTTCAAATAATGTATTTGATTTAGTATAAATAAGCTTCTCTTAAGCATTCTAAATAATGCCATAGATGTAGTTTTTGAAAAAGAGTCAACTTGAAGGCAAAGGGAAGCATGATGTAGACCTGGTATTCCAACAGATTATAGCTACTAAAGCCAACGATTTACCGCTGTGCCACAGAGCTTTGATGAAAACAGTGGAGAAAAAATTACGTCTCTGATAATCACTCGCTGCTATTTATTGCTGACCAGCAGATGTCACTAATGTGCATTGTGAACAGATAATGAAGCTCTGAGTAATGAACCGTTTTTTGGCACAATTTGGTGAAAGCGCTGAAGTCTTCAGAAAGCCTCGGTTTCCCATCACTACTATTCAGAATGACTGTTCAGGACCTTTAAAGACTCCAGCCACCCAAGCCATAGAGTGCTCTCTCTGCTTCTGCACGGCAAGCGGTACTGGAGCAACAAATCTGACACCAACAGGCTCCTGAACAGTTTCTATCCCCAGTCATAAGACTGCTAACTAGCTAACAAAATGGCTACACGGACTATCTGCATTGAACCTTCTATTTTATTATTGCACTGTCTCTATGCACACTCACACACTCACTCTATGCACACTCACACACTCACTCTATGCACACTCTACATACTCACTCACTCACACTGACACACACACACACCTAATTTGCTCACACATAACACGCACACACATTCATACTGACTCTACACACACGCACGTACAAACTCACCTACAATTATCATATATGCTGCTGCTACTCTGTTTATCATAAAGTATATCCTGATGCCTAGTCACCTTACCCCTATACATATCTAACCCTACCACTCCAGTATCCCTGCACATTGTAAATATGGTATTGGCACTGACCCTGGAACTGACCCTGTATATAGCTTACTTACTTTCTCGTGTTCTTTTTATTTCTATTTCTCGTGTGTTTTTGTTCTACTTGACTTTTTATACTTTTTTTTACAGTACTACTGATATTGATTACTGCATTGTTGGGAAAGAGCAAGCAAGAAAGGCATTTGACTGTACTTGTGCACGTGATAATTACAATTTGGAACTTTAAACACATTCATACTCACACTCATATGCATGTGTAGAATAGCTGGAAATTATCTTTAAAAATGCTAAATTCTCTCAGCCTCATTGCAAAATGTGTAGAATAGCATGAGATGAGCTATAAAACTGCACATATTTCTCTCTGCCCCATGGCAATATGTGTTGAATTGCAGGAAATTAGGTTTAAAACAGCAAAAAAATTTCTCAGACCTTGCGGGGGGCCCCACGAAACTGCGGTATGCCACTGACACCATACTGTATACTAAATGTATGCCTGTTTTCCCCCATAGAGGGGAGGGTGCGTCGCAGTCTGTTTAACCTGCCGGTGATAAACCCAGACAGGCTGAAGACTGCCAAGGCTCTGGTGGAGAAGGCTGTCCAGGTAAGACAGTAGTCTCTCTGAGGCATCTTACCCATAGGGGGCACAGGGGAACAAAGTTGGCTTTAGCCAGCCCAGATAGGTTCCCAATCTCCCAACTAGCTATTTCAGGCTATCAATCAAGTTAGAGTAGCTAGTTTGTCTAACTATCTTAGCTGGCATGCATTTTACCAGGTAAGGTGACTAAGAACACATTCTCATTTACAGCAATGACCTGGGGAATAGTTACAGGGTAGAGGAGGAATGAGACAATTGGAAGCTGGGGATGATTAGGTGGCCATATAGGAAATTTTGCCTGGACAATGGGATTAACACCCCTACTCTTACGATAAGTGCCATGGGATCTTTAGTGACCACAGAGAGTCAGGACACCTGTTTAACGTCCCATCCAAAAGACGGCACCTTACACAGGGGCAATGTCCCCAATCACTGCCCTGGGGCATTAGACCAGAGGAAAGAGCACCTCCTACTGGCCCTCCAACACCATTTCCAGCAGCATCTGGTTTCCCATCCAGGGACAGACCACGAGCAGTCCTGCTTATCTTCAAAGGCAAGCCAGCAGTGGGATGCAGGGTGGTATGCTGCTGGCAAACTAACTGTATTGAGTAAGACTCACATTCCTTTCCATCTTTTACCCAGATTTTAGCAGAGAAGCATATTTAGTTTCTTTAATAAAAAATTAACCACCAGTCAGGAGGATACAGACAACTCAAGATGAGGCATGCTTAGATATGCAGAAAAATATACATATTTTTTACATAGAATTAAGCATAATGATTATGGCTCTGGATTGCAGGAAAAGGCTGTTTCAGGTGTTTGAAAAATTTGAAATTCTACAACTTACGGTCGGCAGGCCCCTTTAGATTTTTGGGGTGCATGACGCCCCTGGTCTCTTTCTCTCTCTCTCTCTCGCCACACAACCACTGTCTGGGCCTACAGCAGACACATCACAACCAACACATTACCTACAGCAGTGGTTACCAACCCTGGCCATAGTGGAGAGCGACAGGGTGTGCAGGGTTTGGCTCCAGCCCAGCACTAACGCACCTGATTCACACCTGATCCAAAGACTGGAGGAACAAGCCTGCACACACTGCAGCTCTCCTGGACCAGGGCTGCTGACCTAAAGACACTTTCCTACCCTCTCTCTCTCTCTCTCTCTCTCTCTCTCTCTCTCAGCTGCGGAGGGTGTTCTCTGTACAGGGCCCCTATCCTGTGATCCGTGCTGCCTTGCGGGCCAGAGGTTGGGTGGAGCGTCGCCTGCCACGCCCCGCACCAACACCAGCAGGCCATTGTCATGGTGATGAGGAAGAGGATGGTGGGGATGGGGATGACAGTAATGATGACAACGGTAAGACGGAAGCTCTTCGTTGGGCAAGCATTAGGTTTGAATACATTTGTCAACCCACAATCGGACAGTGGCAAGGAAGAAACTAGCTCTTGTGAGGTATTCTGTAGTCCTCAAAGGCTGTAAGAGAGACTTCAACAGTTTTAAGTTTGAGCCTACTCATACAGTATAAGGTAAAGCAGAATCCCTGCTAATGGTATGGATAGGGCATTTAGATTAATAGCTGTAGTGTAAATGTAATGGGAGCACCGGTAGGATGCTCCTAGTCCTGAGAATACGATACAACCTGAGCCCATACTACACCACATCAACCAAGACATGTCACAACACACACATCACTCTCCTGTCAGGACAGAGCTTGTCATCGCTCGAGGTAGAAGTTGACCCCTACCACAAATATAGGATCAGATTACCTTACTAAAAACCTAACCTTAACCATTAGGGGGATCAGAAAATATTTGATCCTGTATCAGTGGTTAGGAGCAACTACCTTCTCCCATGTCTCCTCCTATGTTCTACATACTTATTTTTATTCTCTCTTTTTCAGTCAGAGTGGTGGAGGGGGCGAGGGAGGACGACCCTGATGACATGTATGACCTCATGGTGAGCTGCTGTTTGATATGGCGTCATTGTTAGATTTTTCCCTTTCCTGTCACTCATTCACTCACCGTTTCTTCCCCCAGTCTCGTCTGGTGCGAAATGAAACAACATACTTCTACTGGACGACACGGAGGGACGAGATTGACTGCCGCTCGTTACGGAAGGACCAGATGACCAATCACTACGCAAAGTCGGGCACTTTCACCACCAAGGTCACAGTCTGAATACAGATTGCACTCAATTCACTTAAGGAAATAACGGGACTACTCAGGCTATATTCTAGTGCCTCTGTAGTGCCTCTCTCTATTATCCTACTCTTCTTTTCGCTATTTTACTCTATTTTATTCAGGAATACATAATATGAGTAATAATAATCTCTCTCGCTCTTTCTCTCAGGTGGGTTTGTGTGTGAACTTGAGGAACCTTCAGTGGTTTGATGCTGCAAACCCAGACACATTCTTCCCACGATGCTACAGGCTCGGGGCAGACGATGAGAAACATGCCTTCATTGGTCAGCCCACTCTCTAACTGTCACTCTGTCCTGCACCCCAAGATGCATGTCTTTCTTCCTGTGATAGCTCAAGGTAGTAGGTTCCCTTAGGATCAGATGACCTTAACCCAAAGTCTCTAACCTTAACCATTAAAGGTATGTAACAGTATCTGATCCTGTATCAGTGGATAGAGGGAACTTCTACCCATTTCTCCCTGTAGGCCCTTCTGCAAGCACCTCTCCATCCCCAATTCACAGTCAACATTACTGTATAGTACACATTTATTAGGAATGTCTAATTGAGAAAAGTAATATTTTTCATTATCCTTTCTTTCTTTCTCTCGCCCTCCCTCCCCCTCTCTCTCCTCCACTTTTTTAGAAGACTTCAGGAGGACAGCATGCACTAGTCTGCTCCAGCACATAGTGGAAAGAAGTGATAGAGAGGGAAGAGAGCAAGGAGAGGCAGAGGAAGAAAAGGTGGAACAGAACTTGTCACAATCCGAGGGTATCAGAGTGATATACTGCACACACACACACACACAATAAACTGCAATACATTGTGCCATTCTCAATGTCAAGCCAATAAGTCTTCCCCAGGCCCTAGGAAACGCAGAGCAACTCGATTGGTCGGTCCAGGAATGATTGACAGGGCTTTGCACATATGCCAGGAGTTTCTCAACAGCTTGGACCACAGTGACATTGATGTCACCATAGAAACGCCACCCTCCCTCACAGAACAGCAGTGGGCCAAGTTCATGCATGACTACTACCTGGTCGTCCAGTGAGTGTGTTGTGTGTAGTCAAGGGTCATTAGTTAGTCATTCATAGATGCATTGTCTTTGCTCAGCTAACCCATAGGATACATACTGGCACTGGACTAAGGTATTTGGTTCATGTCAATATGAACGACCCCCCCCCCCCCCCCCCCGTGTTTCTCCCTCTCGTGCGTGTGTGTGTGCGCGCGCGCGTGTGTGTCTGTGTGTGTAGTGAAGGTCTGGGGATCGAGGGCAGTGGTGTGTACGTGGAGCGTTGTCAGGCCATGTTGAATAGACTACAGGTGTGTCCTCAGCTGGACATAGATGGCCTCCACAACATCTGGATCATCAAACCAGGGGCCAAGTCACGGGGCAGGGGTGAGGCTGGCTCTGTGTGTGTGTGTGTGTGTGTGTGTGTGTGTGTGTGTGTGTGTGTGTGTGTGTGTGTCTGAGGGACACGTTGATGTGATGTGTGGGGCAAGTTGGGTGTGTGTCATAGGGTTTGCTGTGTATGTTAATGTGTATGTGTTTTTGTAACTCTTTCTCTTTCATATCTTATTCATGTCTACCCCTACACCCTCATTTCCTCGCTTTCTTTCCTTGTACTCCTCGCTCTCGTTGTCTTTGTCCCTCTTTCCTATCTTATCTGCCAATCTCTTTTTGTCTCTCTCTCCCCCCTTTCTCCCTCCCTCTCAATCGCCCTCTCCCTCCTTCTCTCTCCTCCTCCCACTCCCCTCCAGGTATAATGTGTATGAATCGCCTGGAGGAGATCCTTAGGCTGGTGGACAGTGACCCATCCCTAATCAAGGACAGTAAGTGGGTGGTGCAGAAGTACCTGGAGCGCCCCCTGTTGGTCCATGCCACCAAGTTCGACCTGCGCCAGTGGTTCCTGGTCACAGACTGGAACCCCCTGACCGTGTGGTTCTACCGCGAGTGCTACCTGCGCTTCTCCACCCAACCCTACTCCACACAGACCCTGGATAGGTAAGAGAGAAGGGGAGGGGAGAGGAGTGTGAAAGAAAGAGAGAGAACTTGCTTATTCACCTGATTCATATCAGTTTTCCTTTATCAGGAGGTATTTTGCAGCAGAACTGAGCAAAAAAGTAAATTCTGTCCATTTCTTGCTTTCTCTCTCCGCCTCCATCCCTCCGTCAGCTCGGTCCACCTGTGCAACAACTCCATCCAGAAGGACTTCCAGCCGTCTCAATGGCGCCACCCGGAGGTGCCCGAGGACAACATGTGGTCGTGCTCCCAGTTCCGGGCCTTCCTGCGTGCCCAGGGCCAGGGGGCATCGTGGGGGGCGCTGGTGGTGCCTGGGATGCAGCGGGCAGTGGTCCACGCCCTCCAGACAGCCCAGGACCTGGTGGAGGGGCGCAGGGGCAGCTTTGAGCTCTACGGGGCAGACTTCATGCTGGGTCGGGACCTGAGGCCCTGGCTACTGGAGATCAACGCCAGCCCCACCATGGCACCCTCCACAGCCGTCACCGCCCGCCTCTGCCCTGCCGTGCAGCTGGATACTCTCAGGGTGGTGCTGGACCGACGGGCGGACCCTGGTGCATATACAGGGGGCTTTCAGCTCATCTACAAACAGGTGAGGCCAAGGATATATGCATAGACATACATGCAGATCATTCGGACACAAGCTTGATGATCACATATGATGAGTCTATGCAGACTATGCAAGCATTCCCAGGTATTGTACAGCACAAATAATACTCAACCCCCATCAGGAGTGTGTGAACATATCTATTTTCCTCCTTCTCCCAGGCTACAGTTGAAGTCCCTCAGTACATGGGAGTTAACCTGCTGGTGGAGGGGGCCCCACTAAAACGACCCCGGTTGCCCCCTCATAGAATCCCTGTCATCCCTGACCCCCCTCTCACCACACACACCCGCACCAACCAATCAGCCCCAGAAGCAGAGGACAAACCCTCCAATAATAGACCATCCCCATGCCGCCGCCCCTCAGGCAAAGATAACCAATCAGGGGGAGGGGGGAATATGTTCCCCAAAAGAGATGGAGAGGGTGGAGCTCTGGGGCGCCAGCACACCTCCCCTACACTGAGGTCGTCTCAGAGAATGGCACCAGAGCACCCTCAGGCACTCCACAGCGAGCCCCAGAAGAGGGCTCGTTGCCTGGGGCTGAGTCTGGGCAGCAGTTGGCCTCTCCGCCTGGTTCCCAGGACTCTATCCCATTCCCTTAGCACCCCCTGTGGCACATTAGGGGGTGACACCCACCCCTCTCACCCTAACCCCCACCCCCAGCCTGCCCCAGGACCCCGTACCGCCCGGCCCTTCCTCTCCCAGTCCTCCCTGGGACCCCCCCGCAAGGCTCCAACCCGGGGCCTGCCCACCCTCTACGGCCCCATCCCAGCCCTGGAGGTCTTTGGCCTGCGCCCCAGCCCACTGACTGGACCCCTCTCTGGGCCCTGCCCAACGCTGGCCTCTGACCCTGGCCTCCGCATACACCAGTTCCTCCCCCACTTCCACAGGCAGGTCATAGCCAACTATAAAGGGGGCTGTGCCGGCGGAGGTCCCAAATCCTCAACGTAAATCCTGATCTGAAACATAAGAGGGGAAAACACAAAACTGACTCTGGTTTAGCATCTATGGGCAACGTCATCCTGTACTCACCTCTTGACAGATGGGACTTTGGAGGGGTGAATCAATCTCTTGAACTGTCATCATGTGTTACTTACTCACTTTTTATATTTTTCTTGAAAGTAGAATGAAATGGAACATGAAATAAAGACTTTCCATCTGTGAAGTGAATGTGTCTTGTATTCAGTGTTAGATTACACTTACAGCACTTCACATACAGGACTGCCTGCAGATATCACTATCAGTGATTCTAAGGATATGTTTTTGTTAACTGGCTTTTTCCTGTATTGGTAACTTTATTTGGTTATGCATAAATCATACATAATTCAAACGGCATTCAAGTTAAAAACAATAAATATCAAGTCAATATATCCTAAGCAACCAATCAATCAAATTTCAATCAAATGTATTTATAAAGCCCTTTTTACATCAGAAGATGTCACAAAGTGCTATACAGAAACCCAGCCTAAAACCCCAAACAGCAAGCAATGCAGATGTAGAAGCACAGTGGCTAGGAAAAACTACCTAGAAAGGCAGGAACCTAGGAAGAAACCTAGAGGAACCAGGCTCTGAGTGGTGGCCAGTCCTCTTCTGGCTGTGCCGGGTGGAGATTATAAGAGTACATGGCCATTTAAGGCCAGATTGTTCTTCAAGATGTTCAAATGTTCATAGATGACCAGCATGGTCAAATAATAATCACAGTGGTTGTGGAGGGTGCTGCAGGTCAGTACCTCAGGAGTAAATGTCAGTTGGCTTTTCATAGCCGAGCATTCAGAGGTCGAGACAGCAGGTGCAGTAGAGAGAGAGAGAGAGTCGAAAACAGCAGGTCCGGGACAAGGTAGCACTTCCTCGTGAATAGGTCAGGGTTCCCTAACCGCAGGAAGAACAGTTTAAACTGGAACAGCAATACAAACAGGTGGACTAGGGACAGCCAGGAGTCATCAGTTATTAAATCAAAATAGACAATAAAAAAAGCATCAAACTGTACAGTGCATTTGTTTCTTTGTTTGACAATGTTTGCTGAAAGTAGATCTTGCCTGTCTGAGTTTAATTTTTAGCTTGAGTGATTGGTCTGGTGGAGTGGTTGACGGTCTGTCTATGTCTTTTCATTGGGGAGGGGAAGGGGTGGGGTCTGGGCTGGCAGCAGTTGGATGGGGTGAGAGTTGTGGTGGCCGCTGCTGTGTCCAGGGTTGGTGCTGGGACTGGAAACTGGGAACCGTGCTGGTGCTGGGACCGGGACTGGAGACATGGGGTTGGCGCTGGGACTGGGGACCGGGAAAAACAGGAACAGAGATCTGGGAACCAAGAACTGGGGCTGCTGCAGGTGCTGGGTCAGGATCTGGGTCTGTAGAGGAGAGGAAGGACATCCTGAGGCGCAAGTAGACCCACAAGGGAGCCCCAGACCCAGAGGTCAATGGTAGGACTCCCCTGTGGCCTGCTCGCTCCGGGTGAAGGTCTTGTTCCTCCTTCGCGCCTCGTCTGGTAGTCTAGTGCTAGGACTGGTACTGGAACCCGGGATCTGGAAAAGTGCTGGGACTGGTGCTGGATCTGTGGAGGGGAGGGGAGGAAGGACAATCTGAGGAACAAGCAGGCACACAAGGGAGCCCTAGACCCGGGGGTCAGTGGTGGCACTCCCCTGCAGCATGCTCGCTCCAGGCGTGCCTCTTCTGGTTTGGTGATGAATGTTTCCTGGTTCTGGTCTGGTTCTGTGAGAGGGATAGGTGTAGAGCAGTGGTGTCAAAACTCATTCCATGGAGGGCCGAGAGTCTGCAGGTTTTTAGTAGACCTAGACAACCAGGTGAGGGGAATTCCTTACTAATGAGTGACCTTAATTCATCAATCAAGTACAAGGATGGAGCGAAGACCCGCAGACACTCGGGCCTTGGTGGAATGAGTTTGACACGTGGTGTAGAGCAGGGTATCCCAAAGTCGGTCCTGGGTCCGCCCCTGGGTGCACGTTTTGGTTTTTGCCCTAGCACTACACAGCTGATTTAAATAACCAACTCACCATCAAGCTTTGATTATTTGAATCAGCTGTGTAGTGCTAGGGCAAAAACCAAAATGCGCACCCAGGGGGAGCCCCAGGACCGACTTTTGGAAACCCTGGTGTAAAGGGAGGATGTAGGAGAGAGACTGAGACGGAGAGGGAGAAGGGGGCTGGTGCTGGTGCTGGTGCTGGACAACAGATAGAACAAACAGGGCCCAGACCCGCCTGGCCTCGGAGCTCTCACCAACAGTTGGTACGTGTGTTCAGTGTGAGTGCCTCTGTGGATGCAGTTCTCTGTACGTACTGTACCTTGTGCCGTATATAGATGGATTCCCTAGTGGGGATTCAACCATGAACAGCCGTCTGAGGAAAGTCCTTCTGTTCAGAATGTGTTGTCAGGGTCCAAGTTCAGTCATTTCATTGCAGATTTGAATGAGGGCCTCTGGCAGGTTGATTTGTGTTGTTCTTGGTTGGTCACAGGTCTTTGCATGCCTCCCCACTGACTGCCTGTATTGGTACCATTCTTTCCAGTAAATGGCAACATGACCTTCACACTTCCACACAAGATCTTACCTGATTGGCAAAGTCTCACTGGTATGGTCACTATCTGTCAGGAAGTCCAACTACTAACAGATTGGATTTAGAAAATGTTATGTTATTTATGTTTCTGTAGCATTAGATTAAGCAACCAATCAATGTACATGCAAAAACACAGGTACTGAAACAAACAAATCTGAAAATCAACCTGCAATAGAGCATGCTGGGAAATATGATATTAATGGGTTTGGTTTTGAGCAAACATGAATTTGTAATTGTACTCATCAAGCTTGTTCAAATTCAGCTCACTTCAAGCAGTTTGTTAAGTAAACAAACTTTAACATATTAGCTCAAATTCTTGTCCTTTTGAAGTCCAATCAACTCACAGAATAACGCTGATTAAGCCATTGGTTAAGTTGGCTTTTTTACAGTGATGCCTTCAAAGGCAAACATTGATTTGTAATTTTACTCAACAAGTTTTTTCAAAATCAGTTCACTTCGAGAAGATTTGTTGATTAAAGAAACTTTAACACATTAGCTTACATTTTTGTCCTTTACAAGTCCACTCAACTCACAGAATAACGCTGATCAAGCAACACACACACACACACACACATTCACATACTCAACCTGTTTGACATTTCCCTGAGGTTGAGAAATTCAAAGCAAATGTTTCTAAATAAAACATCGCAGCGATCCCACTATAAAAGCATCTGTCTCAATCTTCTCCATGTAGACACCATGCCTCACCTGTCTCAGGCATGAACATCGGAGTAAAACAGAGTCCTGGTTTATTGAACCACAGGTAAGAAAGGAGACCTCTTGGCATCATTGGTTGACAAACAAAATGTTGTTTAAATTGACTGATTCTCTTTCTCTCAGTGTCTTAGCTCAGCTCAGTCAAATGTTAAACTGATTTTTCAGTTTAACATTTGTAGTGTTGATTCAGGAGTTAAATTAACACTAAGTAGTGTATAAGAACCCCGGTGTTGGTGTTAATAACCAGTGTTGAGAGTGAGAGTGTGATTGTCAGTTTTACTCTGTGGAGAGTAAAAGGCTCTGCATGGTCAATCCGGCCTTTGAAGTGGCCGTACAAGCATTTACTGCGATGCATCCTCCGCAGACGTCAGAGCTTTCAAACTTCTTACGCTTAGCGGAGCAGAGCAGAACTATTGTGAAGGGAGTTGTCAAGGAAGTGAGCTTGTGTTTATACAGGACGTACCACCCCCACCTACCGTCAACCAATCATGTCAATGCAGAGTTATACAGAGCCCTACGCATTGTTAAAACAGGCGTAGGGCGATGCAGTACGGAGCTTGATTTGGCCTCTGCATGCCTCCGGAGGCTCTGCAATTGCGTCACACCCTCCATACGAAGCCTCTGACCACATTTTTGGATGAAGTATAAATTGGCTTTAAAATATGTCCATCAAAACCACGCCCATCATTATCATATTTCCCAGCATGCTCGACTGCAGCTAAATTTTGGGGATTGTTTTTAATATCTGTGTTTTTGCAAGTACATTGATTGATTGATTAATCTTATGCTACACAAAAATATCCAATCAGTTAGTTACATATATTGCACCCGTTACTGAAATGGTTATTCAAGATGAAATGGTTTAGGTAGTCTCCTTTATCAATGTTACTAACCCTGACAGTTATTCTGAATGCAGGTGAAAAGAAGTTCCTCTCCAACTGCCAATGTGTACAGCCCCACCAACGTGGCCGAGAGAACATCCCTCTTCAAACAGCTTCGGTCACTCCTGCTCACTCCCACACCAGTCCTGGTGGGGGGAGATTTCAACTGTGCCCTCTGAGATGAAGGCCGCAGCAGGCCCAGGAGAGACCGTAGCACACAGGAACTACAATCAATCATTAACGACTTCTCCCTAATAGAGGCCGGTGGCACCTCCCCTCCAACACCAACTTAGGTGAATTCCTCCAGTGCATCCTTCTCCAGGATTGACATATTCTTGCTTTCGCCAGATCCGAAAATGTCCTCCCTGACAAGCAGTTGTGTAAAGTAACGAAGTATAAATACTTTGTTACTGTACTTAAATAATTTTTTAGGGATCTGTACTTTACTTTACTATTTATATTTCTGTCGACTTTTACTTCACTACATACCATTTTTTTTAAAGTATACTTTTACTCCGACACATTTCCCCTGACACCTTCGTTACTCGCTACAAAATCAAATCAATCTGAAGCTGGAAGGAAAAAATGAATCATGTTGGAAAAAAGATGCAAGTGTCACGCTCTGGCTCTGGGACTGTGTATTTTGAGCCAGGGTGTGTTCATTTGGTTGTGTTTCCTTGTTTGGTCGTGTGACTCCCAATCAGTGGTAACGAGTGTCAGCTGTCGGCTCGTTATCTCTGATTGGGAGCCATATTTAAACTGTCAGTGTTCACCTTAGTGTTGTGGGT